GCACTACTACTACTACTACTGTAAACATTTATATGCACGGACGTCTAACACTTCAACGCATACGCTCAATTTTGATACTACAATCATGTGCAGTAAAATCAGTTATGTGGCTGATAAACAAGTGATTTACAACTAAGTACTAGGTACCTTTACTCTTGCATTAACAACAAATACATAACAAAACGCACTATATTTATGGGGCGGATGCAGAGGGTTGCAGAAGGTGCTTAATTGTATTAAGAAAAATAATTGCATTGTTGATATGAATTGCCAGTAAGATTTTTAAAGTACGAGAGTGCAATTTCGGGGCATATTCAATACATCCATATTCTCAAAATTTTTGCAACTCAGCTCCAACCATCGTGGGGCTGAGGTGGTATGCACTTTCACACACACACCCTACTGCCAAATCCTCCATCCGCCTCAGTATCTAAACAGGAAGTGCTGCCTTTTGAGTTTTTAACTTATACAGCATGATATGAGAACATTTACTTACTCAAAATCAACTCATTAAATACCCCACATTATTCAGTGGCGATTAAGAGGGGTGGTGGAAGGGGGTGGGGCTCCTCAGAGTTTTGGGCTATCATTTTTTTTTTTTTTTTTACTTTCCAAAACGAGGGGGGGGGGGCGCGCTGCTGCCCCTGCATACCCCGTGACCAAAAAAAAAAACCCTGGATCCACCACTGCAAAATTATTGTTCATGTGGAGCTAATAAATAATTTCTTAATTTGCCACAAAAAAAAAACCTCTTATAATAGCCTGTGTGAACCGAACATTACCTATCTATTAACGGTGGGTGTAGTAGTATATTGATTAACAGTTTATAGTATTGCATCATCTTATTACTGTTTTTGCTATTATTCAGCTGAATTGCTTAAAAAAACACTGTTTTGGTGAAGAAGAAATTATAAAGTAGTTGATTTCTGCTAAAATACAAGGCTTTCGTGTAACAAATCTTTTGAGGTCACACTATGTATGGTACCAAGATTGTATGCTAGTCAACAAAAATCCATGAAAACACTGAAATTGAGATAAGGTATGAGAAAAAGATTTTTAGGTTAATGAATCTTAATTCAAATATTACTTTTGCATTAAAAACAAAAATAAAATTAATAACAAATAACTTGGAAAAATAATAAGTAAAATTGCTGAAACAAAATAAAGCTTGAAAAGTCTTTTACTAGGCCTAGACAGAAGAAAGTCTTAATTAAGTTTACACAAAACCTAAACTAAATAATTATGTAAAATTAAACACTGGTAGCACTTTACTGCACATGGACAACAACGGTGACCAGAATATTGTCCTTTCATGGACAACAGAAGGAAAGAGAATGCAAGGCAGACCAAAAACTACTTAGAGAAGGTCAGTTGTGATCGAAAGAACATCTTTTGGATGCGGAAGTTGGCCAGAAGCGAGACATGCAGCTCAGTACAGAAGAAAGTGGAAGAAGATATCAGCCATGTGCCACGTGTCACGTAGTGGATAAGTAATAGTATTTATTCACACAAGCTTTTGGCCAGCAGTCTATTCATCAGGTGGTCTATTCATCAGGTGCACTGAAGCCAGCAGTGTTTCATTTTACATAGTTATACCTAACTAATACGACTACACCTACTACTATAACTAAATGACTACAACTGTATTTTATGATAATAGTTTAACTAATAATAATTCTATATGGTATAATAATAATAATTCTACAGTATATGGCAATTGTAGAAAAATAATTATAGCACTAAACATGGTATTTTTTGTCCACACTTCAAATGTAAAAGTGTTGGTCATAATAACAATAAATTTGCATGCTGGATTCAACAGCACAACACGCTGCATGTAAACACATGATCCTCAAATTGTATGCTACTCACGATTAAAGTTATTGTGTTGAATTATTCTGTTTCCAAGAGAGATTGAACTAGATTTTATGACAATTATAATGATATAGAGGAGTTTCTGCTTCTGGGGTTTCTAAATGGTTATCAGGATTTGATAACCATAAGTGTGGCCATGGCATTAGAATGCATGGTAAAGCAAGCAAGACATCCCAAGTGCAGTTTTATGCAGCCTATCTTGGCTGTCAAAATTACTATTAAAGAATACAAAGAATGCAATTTCAAAGCATAAATAAAACATAGAGTATAAAGGATTTTGTTAGGTGTGTTTGGTCATTGAGTGTGAAAGATTGTGAGAGCCCTTGAATGCGAGACACAATATGATTGCTCTGGATATAAACCACAATACACTACATTGATAAAGTTAAAAGCATCGCTATAATCCAGCTTCAAGTTCAATAAATAAAAAATTAATACATTTAATTATTGAGAACTTCACTTTTATATCAGTGGCACTCTTCCAAAAGGAAGGTACGTCCAAAAAAATTGACACCAAGGACACCAGCAGCGTGGGACACAACCACACACTTGAGCCTTATATATTGATAAGTTAAGTAAACATCGTGCATGGTTATGATCAGCCTACTACAAGAAAAATAAATGGAAAAGAATACATCAATTATGCACCCACTACAAGATAAATAAATGAAAAAGAATACAGTAACTATGCATACTGGGATACCAGTGAATTCTAGCAGCGTGGGACACAACCATACACTTGAGCTTTGGTATTTGAATCACAATACATTGATAAGTTAAGTACTACAAGAAGATACATAAATGAAAAAGTAATACATTAACTATGCATATTGGGATACAAAGGAATTCCAGCACCGTGGGACACAGCCATACACTTGAGTTTTGGTGAGTAAAAACTCATTGATATTAATACCATGTGTTTATAAAACTTTGGGTGTAGTCGGGTGAGATCAGGGAAAATGTTACATAGGGTTACTACCGGTGTTGTATCAGCGGGTGGTCTACCAGTTTGTGCAAAACTCGGCTTTTAAAAAACCATTAAGCTCAGACGTATAACCTAATGTATTATGCAAATGATAAGTTTAAATCAAGATGCCCTGGACCCTGGCGTCACTCAGCTGTGTCACCCCAAGCTTTAAGAAACATACTGTGGCATTTGTGCACTGCATAATGTTGTTGTCTTAAAATCAATTGATGAAATTACCGAAGAAGATACAACAAAAATAAAGCATACATTGCAAACTCCCAATAAATCCCACTAGATGTGCATTTTTAAAACTTTCCTAGTTATATAATTCAAACCTGCTTAATTCAGAGCTCAAATGGAACATGCCACTAAAACACACCCCTTAGATACTGTTGCTAAGGTGTTGAATTTCAAAGAGCATAAATTTGCATGTTTGTGGTATATGCACATATTCCTTGCTAATAAAATAACATGTTCTGATTGGTTAGTAGTTTGAAAGGTCCATTGCAAATGGGTAAAATGTTAGTCCAACATCTGGTGGATTTTAAAATAATAATTATTGAATGAACGCAGAGGTACAGTACTCATATTTTTTTTTTTTGTCTCACGATCCATTAAAATAAAAAATAATAATTCCTTATATGTGTGGGTATCATTAAGTTATGCAAAAAAACGATAAAATAACAACATATAAAAAAAATTGAAATCTGATGTCCACCTAACTTAACGACACCTAAAATTCTGATGGATTTGAATGAAGTACACAGACAACTGGATAACAAAAATCAACCAATTCAAAGTAGAAATTACAATTCAAGTTGGTCTTGGGATTTGAACCCATCCCTCTGTCAAGGCATTGCTAGCCCACTCCCATGGACACATTACCAGATGTATATCTATTTGTCCATAGAAATTAAATTGAGCCATAGAGTTTATATACACTAGAACTACAAAGATCCCAAGTTGGCAAAAGCTGCTTCCAAGAAATTTGGTTTAATGAGCTTTCTTAATGTCTTGTCCACACTACTAAATCTCATTGATATAAACATGTGACATGCCTAAATATGGTCATGATCAGTGGCGCCAAGAGGCCGGGGTAACTGGGGCAAGTACCCTGGGGCCCGGGCCCAGCTGGGGGGGGGGGGCCCGGAATAGCTAAATAAAAATAATAATATAAATAAATATATTATATAAATAAATACAGCTGACCGTTTATCGCGAATGCAAGCTCGTAATTACAGTAATCGCTTCTAATTCTTTTTCATGAATATTTTCAGGACTTCTACTACCCCAGAGCTTATGTTTACAAATTATGTTTACAAGTAAATTATTTACGTTACTAATTAATAATTATCAAAGGCTTGGACCCTGGACTTTACTAATTAATAATTATCAAATGCTTGGACCCTGGATTTTACTAATACTGTAATTATCAAAGGCTTGGACCATGGACATCGTCAGCACAAGTTAGAAAATATGAATACAGATTTGATACTGAATTAATATATTTTACCCTAGTGGCATATTTACTGGTTTGATTAACGGTACCGCCATACATTCTTTATTTTACTTACTCTACGCAATAATACTGTATTACCATTTCCGGGTAATTGGTACTCAAATTACCAAAGTTTTTACAGTGGTATATTTAGGTATAATAATATGGTGGGTTAAATGCTGTGGTTGACTATACAGTAGATGACAATGCTATAGTCAAGATCTAAGCACATCCATATCTAGAATAGCACACAGATATATAATTACTTTTTAATATGGATTGACTATATCAATGGTGTATCTAGGGATATCACTGGCTGATTGAAGTCAGGGGGAGCAATCTGGTCAGATTTTGTGGTGATTTTTTACTTTTTAAATAATGAACAGAAAAATTTTAGTGGGGAGGGTGGTCACCTAGAGGTAATGCACAATTTTTCTACTAGGCTTGCATTCCTATCACTCCACCTCTCCACCTTAGATATGCCATTGTGGTATAGGCTATTAATGCTGTATCTCATCTATAAACAATTCTTTGACGTGTAGTTGATTATAATCTCTCTTGCATTGTTTCTTCATACAGGCCAATTAATACCATGATACCCAAACCACACATGATTCCAAATGACTGTAGCAACACCATGCAGACATGTCTATTGGAACTCTCTAGCAATTCTGGAAGCTGAAACATAAAATTTGCCATTAATAAAACAAATGTTTATGTATGGATTTAAAACAAATGAAGAAAAAACAACACTTTAAATTTGTTTCAATCAATATCATATTAATATATTCAAAATCAAAATATTAGGCCTAAGTAGAGTGGAATAATGAAATGAAGAAGTAAGAATAGGCAGTGGCTATTGTTACACCAGTCTTAAACAAGTTCCTAAATCTGATTGGATGTTACGAATTACGAATTCATTTAATACTTGTGTAACAATAGTCACTGCCATAAAAATATTGTACATGATATAAAAACATCATGCTTACCAGATCTACCAATGCTATATAGAGAAACATTCCCCCTGTGAGTGCAAATATCCACAGGTTAGCTTCTTCAATTCTGCCAATACCAACGCCCAGCATCATGCCGATGTATGCCAGAACAGATGACAGTCCCATGTATGCCAGAGCTTTCTTAATAGACATCCCGGATCTCAACATAACAGCAAAATCACCTGCCAGATTAACAGGAGGAATTATTTTGTTACAATCAATAAATATGTTACCTGTATGTATGTTGCCATATTATTATTTGTTGCCATGCTCCTAAAAATATATGTGAAATTCAATACTATTTCAATATAAACATGTCAACATAAGTACTGGTCAACATCTAGAACACAATGATGCAAATTTTAGGTAATGCTGCTTTCTAGATTTAAAAATACAGTAACTATATTTTAAAATGTATACAATTAGTAATGGTTATATGCTCTGATAGGCTATTTGTGGTATTGCTAGATTCTTTTAGATCTAAACACGACCTTCAATAATAAAATATGGAAACAATATCAACAAAATGTATACCATATTTAAGCCCACCCCTTGAATATAAAACTGAGCCAATTTCGGTGCAAGGCTTACACTCGAGATACAGAATATGCAAACAATAGTGAGCCTGCAGGCCAAGCAAGGCTAGGTAGGTAATTGAACTTAGTGTAAGCCTCACAAAGTGTAGAATCGCCATTCTAAACCTTTGAAGCACAACATACGTTGTTGAGCATTTTGCATTAAAATTACTGTACTGTACTCAAAAGTTTTGAGGGTGAACTTACAGAAAGAGTGGGCTTAACCCCAAGGAACTAAATGGTGCATTATCTGGGTTTTAGTTACTGTACATTGTCATCAAATAGTGGTGTTGATTATGGTAAAACTTTATTAAAAGATTCTTATTACATATGCATGCACAAGTTTTATGTGAGGCAACCCAGTTACAATTTACAAAGAAAGACTGTCTTACAACAGTTATTGTTATAATGGTTAATGGTTGATTTGATATTCTGGAATGGCAGACCCCCAAATGCCATGGGGCATTTAGAGGTATTTAGTAAAAGAGATGGTGGTTGAGCCATGGGTCATTACATAAACTTGATGAGCTGTCTTATTTGCTTCCAACAACATTTAATTTAACATTAACATGCAGTATAAGCATGTGGGGAAGGCGGCTAGTCTTTAGGACATAAATAAAAAAATCATAAGTTTTTCTTCACAAAGAAGAAAGGTTGTATGTGGTAGCATGTGAATGTTTTGTGGAATGTACTGGATTCCGAGCTAAATTTAATAACAACAACAATAATAATAATAATAATAATAATAATAACAATAATAATAATAATTATTATTATCATAATCAGATTAGCATTCAATACACTTTACATAAAGAGAAAAACGAGAATGAAAAGTAACAGAGTGAGAATAATGAAAAAAATTAAATCAAGAAATAAATTTCCTGACAATAGTAAAGGTAAAGGTAGGAGAATAACCCATAACTTGCAGCGTCATTGTGCTGAAGTGCGTATGGGGCGTGGTCCGTGACTACCTAGCAACCGTAAAGAGACGCTTTTTGGTAAATACATGTTCACATCATTCCACGACAGGGGCTGAAATGAACCATAACATCGGGGTAACCCCCTACTCTCCCGAAAGATGCAAGCAATTGGTGCACACGAGCCAGATGTATACACTGGACCTACATTTTAAGTCCTTATCCGAGAAGACTTGGTTCTACCAACCGAACCATGGGCGAGGAGCGGCTGGAACCAGCGCCGACGTTAAGGCTGTAACTAGCGGCGCCCCTGCCTTACTGCTCGGCCACTCGACTGGCCGAATACTATGAATACTATAAAGGGAGTGGGAATGTATGTGTGTAGTTCATGGCTAAATATCTAAAATATGGGTATGTTAGAGGTCATGATATGAGTCATTACAGGACATTATTATTACTATTATATAAATATTATCATTTTCCTGCTACTTAAATATATTCAGCCACACTTTGATGCTAGCAGAAGCTGGAGCAGTCAAACACTTCATATTCCCTCCTCCTTTTCTCCCTCCCACCCTTTCTCAATGACCTAAACATTTTCGGAAAAGGGAAATTTGGAAATTTGCTAGCACTAACCTAATTCATGTGGAATTTCATGGCAGAATATTGCAATAGATGTGCTTATTCCACCTGTTACGCTATTCGCAAATGCAGCACCAATAGCGATACCATCACAGAAGTTGTGCAAACCATCACCCATGACGACCATCCAGGCCACTGTTGCTATGCCACCAGAAAAGTTGTGATCGTGACTATGTCCATGGCTATGTTTATGACTATGCCCATGCCCGGGGCTTTTTTTCTCTTCCTCCTCTTGTATGATTTCAGTCATTTCAACTCGATTCTCAGGATCCGAGTTGCAGACACGTACATCTTTGCCTATAAAACCATCACATTCCTCCTGATTCTCGCATTGAGCCTCTGGGCATGTGGAATCATCACACGGGGTCTCACACGTTCCTTCACCACATTCTAATTTCACCATCGGAATGTCACTGCTCTCGAAAAGCTGATGCACTTGAGTGTCATTATGAATATGTATAAGATGTGCATCGCTATGGGTACCTCTTAAACATGATCTTTTTATATTCCCTTGAGGAAATGAAGAACAACCTGTCAAATGTAAAAAAAATAATAATTTAAAAAAATGATTGGAATAAAAAATATTAATTTTTAAAATATTGTGTTTGATTGGTTAGTTCAAATCTATCAAATCCTGCTAATATTCTAAAATAAAAGATAATATTGAACCAAATATGGATTCTCTTTATTAGTCTTTTTGAAGTTTGAGTGGTACACTATTATATAAAAAAAGAATACACTTGTCAGAGAAAAACACACTACACAGCAAGTAAGCTTGCTTTTTGTTTATCCCACCACCGACAATTACAGTATGCCAAAATAAATGAAATGAAATAGTTTCACACTCTTCAATCAGTGAACTGGCTGGGCAGTATAACTTATATTGTAGTTCCTATGAGAAAGATTAGGACCGTAGTTATGGCACAGTAAATCAAGCTGGGCCAAGTTGGCACAGTGTCCAAAAGAGCATCCCTGCTGGTTCCTGTAGTTGACTTGGTCTGTAAAGGCTAATGATGATGATGGTTAAGCGGAGTAGCATACCTGACATTAGCGGTTTCCGGTTGCTTATTAGAGGTTCTACTGCTGTCATCTGTTTTCTCATTGCAACAGCAGCATCCGTACTGTCATGCGATGCCTGACAAATATAGCAATGATTAAGAAATCAGGACTGTGTTTTGGTTGTATGTATACACATCCATTTATGTGTAGTGTATGTGTGCATGTGTATATTAGATTATATTGCACATGCATGATGTGTACACATGCATTGTATGCTTTTGTTTATAACTTCAGTATAGCCCCTTTCAGACAGAAAATACGGCAATAATACCCTAATCACGCTGTCGTTATTGCCGGCACAGACACTTTCACACAGATAGTTAAAATCCGGTAATAATACCGTATCCTGTCTGAAAGGGTTCTCGCGGAAAGGAGTATTTGATGCCTGTAGCGCTTGTGCTTGTTAACAAATAGGGCGCAATTTTTTGTTTACTCCAATAATCCAATATGGCCGGAGATGAAGTAAAAAAACTGCTGCTTTGCCAATGTTTTTTAATGCTTGCTATGTTTGCAATACATATAAATTTGAGAAACAGAAGTGAAGAAAGAATTCAGGAAGCGTTTAAGGCAAGGCCGGATTGAATCTCGAGCAGCTAGGTGCAGGCGATTTTCGCGTCTAAAGAACCGTCAGCTAGCGATTTCATCGTTAGCTGCAGCAGCGGTTGATGGCTGCTAGTGTGACCGTCTGACTTGTTATGCCTCAGTGCGTAAGACGGCGATGAACCCTGTACCCTTTCACATCGAGTTGGGCAAAACTCGCTACGGTATTAATGCGGTATTAGGACTAGGTCAAGAGGAGGTCTAACTGAAGCCGGCGTTTAGACGTATTTACCCTTTCACATAGAACGCCAGCATTCGAGAAATACAGTATTAATACCGTTTTGCAGGTCTGTCTGAAAGGGGAATTTAGTCACACTTTTTTTCAGTTTGTTGCACAATTTAAATATCTTTTAGTCATTTTGTTCTTAGTAACTCCTTAAAGTTTATTATTATAAAAAAAAAATTGTTCACATTTATAAAGTGTGTGATGTTATGATTTGTGTTATTACATTTTTAGTATTACTGTATCATGACCATAATTAGTCATAAACATCATGATCATCATCATTGATATCAAATTCATCATCATAAACATTCCACAGACACAAAAATAGAATAAATTCACATCTCACTTACTTTCTCCACATTAGATTCCTGCTCCTTTTCCTTACGGAAGTGCAACAATTTCTCACAGATGAAAAAAAAGAGGATGCCAAAAACAGCAACTGAGCCCCGCAACACAACAGTAGATGCTTTAATTGCGTCTTCCTCTGCATGACCTTTATGACCATGTACACCATATGCCTATGAAAAACAAAGAGAAATATAACATAAAATAATACAAACCCAATACAATATCACAAAATTTTATATATTAATATGATAATAATAATAAATGGATATTTGCACAATGTAGATACAGGATATTACAAATTGGTAGTATGTGAAGGTGTGCAAAAAGAGAAAGGTTTGAAATTGATTAATTTAACAATAAAATCAAAGGTGTATCTTTTGAAGTACCGCTTAATAAATGTGGTGAAAAATGTTGGAAATTTTGTTAGGTTGAATAGTATAATGAACTTAACATTCTTTGAAAAATCAAAATAATGCAATTCACTATAATGTCTCTTCAATCTGGAAATCCTTTTTAACTCGTTATAAAGTTCTAGAGAAGACAGCAGATCTCTGGGGAGAACAACTACATAAAAATGCTGGACTTATTTATAGCTCTATCGTTTTAGCTAGTAAACAAGACGATCAGGCCACCAGTCTGCCAACCACTCCAGGAGGTCGCTTATAGTCTATGCATGCTGAAAAGTTGGCAAATACTGCAGTACTAAATAAAAAATTTAATGAACAATGTAATCTTTTAACCAACAGAAATTTGATTTATATCAATATCACATTCCGTCACTGAAAAATACACAGAGGAGCACAGGGTTGTGAGAAATGGGTCAACCCATCCTTATATCATTCAAAAAAATTTCAAACTAATATTTTTCCATTGTATATTCTTTCCAATCAAACAAGTGCTGTACATGATTTCAAAGAAACAAAATAAATTAAAAGCATGCTTGGTTTATACAGTATTTTGGGTGATTTAATGCAGAGTAATACACTTCATAATACAGATTGATGTTACAAAGACCCTATTTATTGTTTTATAGTACTAATTCCCAAAATTTACAGCATTCATTTAGAAAAGAATCTTTCTCTTTAGTCTGCAAAAGTAGCCTCGAAAAGAAGTCAATCTCGAAAAGAAGCCCAAGGGCTTCAATTCGAGGTTTTTACGGTATGCGCACACACTATTTACTTTCATACTGTCACTATTGTATATTATATCTTAATTCAAACTTTTCAGATATAGTCTGTTTTCTTTCGCAACTACAGTATGTGGGTTAAATCAATTCAATTGAACAGGAAGCAATCCTGTTATATATTTGTAGTGTTCTTCAAATATTTGCAGAAAGAGTTTTGACTAGTTCAAGGAATGCTCAATGTTTGACCAAACAACCTTTCATCCCATTATTTTGCTTATCAATCATTATATATTTAGGATTATTTCAATTTTTATGTTTTAATGTTGTAATTGTTATATTTAAAGGAAATGCTAGATAAAAAAATCATACTTATTCATGGTGGTAATCATCTCAATATCAATTTTGGTGGGGAAAAATTATTTGTACTATATTTTAATTATCATTTTTATTATTAATAATAATAATAATATTGTTTTAATTATTTTAAAAAAGACGAAAGTATCATATTCATCTTTTTTTCCAAATTGGAACATTTCTAGCATTACTAAAAATGTACATACATGTGGAAGTAGATGAAGTAGGGCGTCCCCGATGAGTGCACCGATAGCAAGCGCAACAAGATATGATATGAGATTAGTATAGATGACTGGGTAGCGTTTGGTACATGGTACAACAAGGATACCAGTGATGGATATTAGGCTGATGAAGGTGACAGAGGCAAAGCTGTAGCCCCATGCTGTAAGGAGAAATTAATTAAAAACAAGTATTATTATTATTTACTGTTATATAAAATATAATATGCAATTTATTTTTTTATTCCATACATATCCAACAGCTAGTTAAATCACGAATTATAGGATGGAAATATGATTATGAACAAGACAAAGAAAAAAGAATTAAAAATAATATCATCTATTGTTTTACAATATACAAAAAATTAACACATTAATTATTATAATTGATTAAAGAATTGATTCCTTGATTAAGTCATCTTAATAACTGATACAATGAATGACTGTTTGATTAATTGTTAAGTAAACATACCTTATATTCCAGGTTGTATGAGATATTTATTTTAAACATACCGTGTTTATTAGAAGGTAACTCCTCTTCCGATTCCATCTCTGATTTACAGGCTTGAATATCCAGTTGTTGGAGAAGAACTGGACAAATTGTCAAAATATCGTCATTTGTAATGACATTTGATGCATTTTTTGAAAAGCTTCGATAAAGTTCATGAGCTGGGAGACACTATAGATGTGTATAAGAGACAGAGACTGGGCAGCCAAGCATGATCCAGACTATTAAATTTTAATGACCAAAAACATATGACATGCCTAAATTATGTTCATGATGACATCACATCATAACCTTATTAGGCACATCATGACTATATATGGGCATACAACAGTTTTTTTGTCATATAAAATTTGATAGTCTGGACAGACCTTTAAGCCCAGTTGAGATTATCTGATTTTCTTTGACAAAAAACTGTCGTATGCCCATATATAGTCATGATGTGTCTATGGTTATGATGACGTGATTTCATCATGACCATATGTTTTTATTTTTGGACAGAGCTTTCAACAGTTCTGTGATTGCATCAACAAAATTGCATTATTCTATCTAGTACAAGACAAACAAGAAATGCCAGCTACAAGTCTGCAGGAAAGTTAACATAAATGATAGATTTTTAAAAACAGTTTCTTTTTTTTTATTTAGTAGACCTGATGCTATTATTGATGATGAAAATCAGCCAAAAAATCAATTTATTTTTCATTTACTTTTTTTTATATATATGCTGTAAGCCATGAAATACTTGCACAAAGGGCTGAAACAGTGTAAACCACTTCACAATATGTCAACAAAAGAGGTATTTAATTTACGCATGGTCAGTGCGTGGTTCACACTCCTGACCACAGAGGCTTACAACCTGAGTGCAGGCTACTTTTCTTTAACTGCAACAATTGTGATTAAGTATTATATGACAACTGTAAATCGTTTACTGTAAATTATAAATCACACCTCAAGGGCGGATCCATGATTCGAAGGAGGGAGGGGGTTTAAAATACGGTAAAAAAATAAAAAAAAGAAAGGGGATCTAGGGAAACTTTGATTTCTAGATGGCCAGAGATGAGCTTTCCTTACTTCCAGGGTGTTTAATGACATTTAAGTTCTTCAAAATTCAAGGTTCTCCCTCTTCAAAAAGGTCGGGTAATTTTATCTCAGTATTAAGGCCTACAGTAAGTAACATGCATCAAGTCTTCCTATGCTACTATGCATAGGAACCAAAAAAATATATATAAAATTACCCGGTTAATTCTTATTTCTTGTGTGCTTTGTACGGTCTTATTTTCTTCAACAGACACTGAACGTTCAGCGTGGTCATGATCATGGCTGTCTTCTGAGTGCAATTCTACCTGTTCACCGAGTCCAAGGTTTTTCAGAAAGTCCTTAAATGCATCATAATCCATAGCTCCATTTTTTCCATATTTACTGAAAATGGTTTTAAGGCTCTGTTCTTCATATACATGGCTTAAAGGAATGGAGCTTGTGTCGTTGTGATCAATGTGCTCAGTGTGGCTGTGTTCTTGGAGTGCTTGTTCAGCATTGGCTGTTATTATGAGTGCCATTTGCAGACAACAGCAGAATACAATTGTTGGATGAAGCATACGAGAAATTCTTCCCATCAAATTCATCTTGAAAGGCCTACAATAAAAGTACAAAAATGTTATTAAATTTATCAAGTACAGCACCAGGTAAATTTACGGTAAGTGAAAGTGAAATGTGGTTTATTTTTTAAGATCCAACAAGCAATGGGAAGATGTTGATTCTGAAAAAAACTACATAGGTTTGTGGGTAGGGAAAGAAGTGATTGCAGGGTCCTATCCCATCACATTACTGTACATTCTACCCACTTATAAGTTTGTCTTGTCTCTTGTTTATTTAATACAGTTTCATTTTTTTTTTTCAAACAATAAACATGTTGTGACCACAGGCGTGTCTTCACAACACCAGGTGGCGCCTTCAGGACGTTGGTTGCTGTTCAATTATGCCAGCATGACTTTATAATCTTAATGGTTTAGAACATGCTTTCTAGAATAAGCATTTTAAAACCTGATAATTTACTATCAAAATGTAAAAACACAAAATGTTCGCATTATATTAGTTATCGAACACACCTTTAATAATAAATTTACATCTTAAGATCTTCTTAATTATTACGTTAGAAATTGGGATCAATGGTTTGTCAGCTGAGAAAATGGCGTAGGTTGAACGCATTTTGTGTCGCCGATAGCAACAGAGTAATATCACGTGGTATCGTGATGTAAAACTGTAGTACTCTAAACAGTATAATTTTAGGTGAGGTAAAGGTAACTAAAGATAAGAGAATAATCCATAACTCACTGCGTCATTGTATTAAATTCTGTAAGGACGTGGTCCAAGACTACCTAGCTGCCGTAATGAGGCGCTTATAGTAGCTACATCTGCACATTATTCCACAAAGACAGGGGCTTAAATGAACCATAGCATTGGAGTAACCCCCTACTCTTCCGAAAGATGCAATGGGTTCTTTAAAGTGCACACATGCCAGATGTATACCAGACCTTATCCAAGAAGACTTGGTTCTACCGACCGAACACTGGGTGAGGAGCGGCTAGAATCAGCGCCAATGTAAGGCTTAGGTAGATAGCGGCACCCCTGGCTTACCGCACAGCCACTTGACTTGCTAGACCCTATGCAAATAGCTGTATTTGTTGTGCGAACTGCTCATCTCCCCAAAACAGGTAACGTTACACACAATTCTTTGTTCATCCCAAAGCAACATACAGTATTGTTCTGAACATAGATCTTGGCCAAGTACTGTAGTTGGTACAGCGTTTATGTCAAGGGAATTGTTCAATTGCCTTCATATTTTGGAGAAGCACATGAGAATCAGAATCAAGTTTATTTGTCATCACGGAAAATACATTGGTTATTCAAAGCTCAATACATTATACAGTTAAATAAAGTTGAGACATAAATATAAAAAAATAACCGAGTTAATAATGATCGTCGTTTAGAGAATGGTATATATTACTGATGACAGCGTTTCCATGGTTTTATATTTAATTGTTTGTTCTTTTGTACTTAGAAATTGTATTAATATGCTGGAATGAATAAAATTATCATAAATAGTTTCTGTACTTTCTGTTTCGAGGCTTTGTTTATTTTCCATACTATGCAGAAAGCTTATATATATGTTCAGTTTTGGTTTTGCTGATTTTCTTTTTAAGTGATTTATCTATGCCAGAGATACCAGTTCTCTTATTTACGCAAGGGTTTAATTTTCGCAAATTTCGTGAATGTAGCACTTACCGCAAATTTCACCACTCGCGAAAATGTCCACAAATTTCAAATTACAGGAAGTACTGTCAACAACAAACCGAATGACAGGGGAAACCCTGTTAATGGTCGGAAATCTCGGGTAGCACAGCTGTAGCGCATGATGGATTACGTCGCGCCGCATTTAGCACGTTCAGCGCGGGCGTACAGTTTGAGACCTGGAAAAAACAATTCCTTTACCGACTGTACAGTAGGCCTACAAAAATAAAAATCCAAATCTACCTAATCCGGATCATCATGCTAGTCATGGCCTAGCTCCTGCCGCTGTAAGTGAACTGCTTCAAATTTTAATTCCAGGAATTGATTAAAAAATAGAAAGATAAGGGAAAATACCAAATTTTCCACAAATCTCTTGTTTATCAAGTGTACAAAGGAGATGTACAGTATAAGCACTTCTTTGATCAATACACTTTTCACCTGACACCAATCAATATTGGTATTAGCCATAAAGTAATATAGGACTAAAATCAAAAATGTTTGTTTTCTTTTTTGATCTCAAAAAGAGAAATGAGATCAAAAAAGAAAACGAATGTTTTTGATTTTAGTCCTGTATTACTTTATGACTTTTGATTTACTTTTATATGCTTAGTATAAAGTATACTGTACAGACTAACGCAGCTATACTTTTTATTCATCATGTTGTTTTATATGCTTCTGTGTTATCTGGCCTGATATGTTCCTTTTTTTACTTTTTCCTAATGTCCCTTTTGAAAATTTGAATTGTCTTTCGACTAGTTAGGCATGACTAAATTTAAATAGTCCTCCCTAATAAAACGGGCCTAAAATATTTAGATTAGACCCTAGTAAGACTAATTTTGGCAATGGCAAAAACAAAGCTTAGACTAAATGGCATGGATTTTCGATGGCATACCATACAAATACAACAAAACTTTCCAGGAGAATGGATCAGGCCTCGTCTGGAGTCGGGAGTAGGCCTAGCCTAGACTAGTAGAGGCTTGGCGTATTTTTTAAGTTCTTACTTACAGAGGCCTACCTTTGAATATTCTACCCTAAAGGCCTAAATCTGTGTAGCAGCTAGCGGTGAGCAAGGTTCCTATAGCCTACGGTTATCAGTCCATGTCGTTCTCAGCAGGCCAGAACTATACTAACTGTTTTAATTCAAGTATAGGTAGCCAAAAGGGAGCTGGTTCTTGTTCTAGTCGAGACATCCGCATCTTCAATTTTAAAAGTTTACCAAGATTGATTAATATGCATGAAGTTAGCCAGTCACGTGATTTACAAAATCAGTCATGCATACCATATCAAATCCTACATCAAATTTGATGTGGGAAATCGTACGCATGAATCGTTTGCCCAGGCCCTAATTCGAAAAAAAAGAAATCGAGTATGGGACGTCAATTAAATTAGGTATGGCTCGCACTAAGTGCAATAAAGAGTGAGTAACCTAAAATTAGGGCCTGGAACCCAGGCTATCACTGATGATGCTGTTAGGGCAGTTCTGAATTATGAAAAAAAAAAAAATAATAGTAACAGCCTACATATAGCAGTTATCAACCATCTCGCATCGTGCGGGACGATCCCACATTTTAAAGTGATTTTGGATGAAACACACATTTTGCAGAAACACATGCATGATCCTAAATTTGTCACGCATTTAGCATAAGTCTATGCGTGATAAAAAAAATTTATTTAAAATTAGAAGAAAGTGGTTTTACTGAAAATATAAAAACTGTAATGAAGTAACTTTTAGTCATTAGAGAGTACAGTATTTTCGTGAAGACTTATTTCACAGACGCATTACTAAAAATTGATCTGTAATGAAATGTGTGTGTAGGTCTACATAGTTTGGGTGCTCAATTTAAACATACATTAAAACTCAAATTGTACATGGCTTTATTAAAAATATTGTTGCTTATGTAGGGCTATCCGGTATTGTCAAACGCTCCCTAAAATTTAATTTATTCTTCACCAACTGAAACATTCTGATGTGCAACAACATGTTACAGTGGGATGGTAACATTTACTGTGCTACAGGTAGTATATTTGCATCAACAAGGAGAACAGCCGCAAAAGAAATCCTCAAAAGTACAGTCACATTTCAAGAACTATTAACATTTATATACAGATGCTTTATTTACAACTTATTCGATGCTCTTAGAAATCATCTGCATATAATGATATACAGTTTGCCCTCCAATTCGAGACTACCTTCGGGACATGAAAATTTGGGGTAGTCTCAGGGTTGGTCTCCAATTAGAGGGCTAGCTTTGTGTTAAAAGGTTGATGATCGTTATTTGGGTCTTTAGAAAAGTGGTCTCAAATTAAAGGGGTCTCGGATTTAGAGGGGTTTCGAATTGGAGCGTGCACTGTATTTCAATTCATTTAAATCTCAATACAATTCATATATGGTTGACTATACAATTTAATAGCATCAAATAGTTAATAGATTCAGTTGCCATGGAACATAGTCCCTCAGTTTTAATTTTTCATTTTGTGTAACATAAAGGAATGTATACTGTACATTAATATAAAATTCTGCTCCATCTCTTATAAAAGAATTGAAGAAAAGAGATACAGTGATATGACTAAATGTAAGGAAAATACAAATTCCATAAAATGCATTTCCTGGTACAAAACTGGTTAATACCAGATTCATTTATTAAATTCCACATGTTAAAATACAATATTGAGTTTTTGGTGTTTTTCACATTGTTTATAAATTCTAGACCTAATTTTTATTAAAGAATAGTAAATTACTGTATAAGAGACTGAACCATAAATGTAATACTGTACATTCCAATATAGTATCTGTCAATCTGTGTGGTGTAACAATATAAGAAATGCTCTAGTAGTTATTAAGATAGAATAATAAAGCTAATTTTTTTTTACTTAATCTGGATCGCATGGCCGGATGCACTCTGTGAAAAAGTTTTCCTCCATAATAGTGGAAATGGAAGGGCGCCTTTTGCGTCTGGATATACTTAGCAACAGAAGGGTGCCCTGTACGTTGGGCACAAAGTATAGGAAACTTGCATGGTTAAAAAGAAGGGCGTCGCCTACGTTGGGCACGACTGCCGCCTCATTTTTACAATGCGAGAACTCTATCTTGTATTTCTAGTATCTTTGGTAACAATGTAAGCTTGAGTGTTTCTAACAATAGCGCGTATTCAACTTCCAATCGGCAAAGCACTCAAAGGGCGCAGGGTGTTCGACAGGGCGCAGGGTGTTCGACAGGGCGCGGCCGAAGGTGTTGGCGGCCGAAGATGTCGGCAGCCGAAGTCGGCCTAAAACAGGCCTAGGCTAGCTCTGTCTACACTATCAAATTTTGTGTGACAAGAAAGTGTGATATGCCCATATATGGGCATGATGACATCACACCATGACCATATATAGGCATAACATTACTATATATGGGCATGTCACATTTTGTCGAAGAAAATTTGATAGTGTGGATAGAGCTTAAGGAGCCTAAAAAAGGGAAAGGCCTAATACTAGCTAGGGCCTACTCTATTAGCCTACTACTGCTAGGATGGTTCAGGCAGCTTAGCTTGGTCGGCTAATCTGGTGGTAGCCGCTGTGTGTGCGCTGAACCATGGAGATCTCTAGGTCCCCGGTTGAATTCCCATCGCTGTCTCTCCTTGTGTTTCAGCTAGGCTAGAGGGCTGAAATACAAGTTACAATAGCGCACCATCTTTCGAATGAGAAGTTTAAAGCCCCATTCCCGGCAAAAATTCACTAAAAACTGACTTTTTTTTAGAAAATATTCATTTGCATTACTCCAATTACTATAAATCATGGAAAAATATTGGCAAGAATTTTAGTTTTACCGCAAAGGAATAAAAAAAATGAGAAATACAGACTATTTCTCATAAAATATTACCATTTTCTGGACGAATTCATAGTTACTAGGCAAATTCAGAGGTTGTAGATCGCATCCACTGGAATACTCTCGCTTTTATGTATACTTTCATACAGTCAATAAAGTGCGCTCTCTCTAATGAGATTAGTTTTTGTACTTCATATCTCGCACAATGCGGTCGTTCGATTAAGGCCGAGATATGTTTGTTTATGTGTCAAGATCTCAGTCAGAATCAGTTTTTTAACAAATTTGAAATAATTTCTATGAAATATTATATTTCACAAGTGTCAATACTAGTAACGGAAAATATCACGTCGGCAGTTTTTATGTGTGATAACAGAACCTAAATCAAGGTAAGGCTAGGCCTAGCCTAGCAGCGCTGGATAGGCTAATGTTTTCAGCACCTACAATATTTCTTCTCACGAACTATCGCAAAATCAAAATGAAAAATCCATCCGCATTAATTTTTTGTGTGGAACACAAAAAAAATCAAATTTCAGTCTTATTTTACATTTTTTTCATTCTTAGGAATGTTAAATTCAGTTAAACTAGCGATTCCGTATTACATTGTAAATCTTAAACATTATACAAAAATTAGATTTTTCTTAAAAACTGAAATTTTGCCGGGAATGGAATATCGATGGGTAAATATTACAACACACACACACAGAACCTGTCAACATATGCAACAGAACATCAACAAAGTAACATAAAGCAAAATATAACTGATTGATTGATGATTTATTAAAAAATCGAAGAGACAAAGTTGTACGTGTCCAGTTCCAAACAGTTAGAGTTTGTTCTCATCGAGCTCTAACATCATTCTCATTGGTTCATAATCAGAAATTATTAGTACTATTGGTTAAACACAATATTTGATAATACGCGCACCGCTTACAATTGGTTATGGCAAGTGCAAAAGCTCACACAAAAATTTGTGATCAATTCATGATTGATCACTAGAAGAACTAGATTTTACTAGTTATGTGCAGGCACAATACTACAGTGGTAGGCCAGGGTTGGGGTTGCCTACAACAATACAAGTAGGCCTAGACCTGCCCTGCTGGGGCCTAGGCATTTATTTGTATTGTGGATTAGGCCTAAGGTTGAACTGGCCACGAGCCAATGCGGCTGGAGTCGGTAAACAGTAATTAATTTGTATGGAGCGCCAAGTGTGCAGTTTCCAATAATATGTGTAGGACAATAAGCATCAGAGTGCGATATGAGCACTGTTTTAACCAATTATCAAATTAATACCTATTTTCTTGCATAGTTTTAATCAAGAATTATTTGGTTCTTTATTTAATTATTATAATTTACATGCCTATTTTCTAACAGAATTGGATGGTAATTTTTAACTCACCTCCTACGTTAGTGAAAATAACATTTGTTATTTTTGTATTATGACTTTGACTTGAAGATGATTGATACTTATATGACTTATTACTACAGTAACTTGTATTGTGCAAAGTCGACTTAGGCAAGTTTATATATATGTATATATATATATATATATATATATATATATATATAATGGTAATGGTAATGGTGGGATATTTGTAGTGCGCCTTCCACAATAAGATCGTCTCAAGGCGCCGAAAAAAGGTAGGACCAAGAATTTAAAAAATTTAATTATATTATATCTAATATTAAAGAGCCTATATTAATCAGAATATTTTTTTTTATTTAATTTATTAAAAGTTAAATAAATATATAACAATAACTGGATGTTTTGGATAAATAAACATGAGGCGGCTTAAAAACTGTGGTAGCGAGAGTGGTGACAGTGCCTATATAGGCCTATATGGAGAGCGGGGAGGGGCATTTTGCTGCTCGACATGTTAACAATTTCCAGCGGAGAATGGCTTCTTTTGGTCTGACGTGTAGTGGAAAATAGGTGTGGCTTGGGCTGACTTAAGCTCCCCCTGTTCACTTCCCTACACACTGACTTCCCCATTAATATGAGGGGAAGGAAGAGAAACATGATACAGTATAATCATCATGCCTAAGTCTTTGTTAAGATGGTGGTGTTATGACATAGGCCTATCAAATCTATGTGCAATTACAATCGAAATGACCATACGTCAAAAAAAACATTGCTTTCCTTAATATATAAACAATTCGTAGGCCTACAGTTTCAAATTGTATAATGAATAACAATACCTGTCTCTTATACACATCTAGATGTGTATAAGAGACAGCTATGTTAGTGAATAAACATTTGTTATTTTTGTATTATGACTTTGACTTGAAGACGATTGATACTTATATGACTTATTACTACAGTAACTTATATTGTGCAAAGTCGACTTAGGCAAGTTTATATATATATATGTATACACTTTATATCTGCATGGTTAGTTTGAACCAGATCATGAAGACGAAAGTGTTCAATACACACGTAGAGCAATATAAATAAGTAATCAAAGACACTAGGTTACAAACTCAACATTTTATTTTGCACTACAGACTGTTTCATGAGGGCACAGCCTCAATCATCAGGTGCTCGGAGACCCTAACTGTTTTAGGGGAGTATGTTGGCAAATTTTCATTTAATAAAAATTAGAAATTCTCAGCAACCATTGATATTTCTAAATTTTTTAATGAGTTCATAGTAACAAAAAACCATTTTGAAATGTATACCGCTTCATTAAATACCAATTCAACCATGTTGCACTATAGTAGAGACTAAAAAGCGAATATAGGCTATGCTAGGTAGGTAGACCATGGAAATCCCAGTCCAAAAAGTGGTCTTAAGTAATTAGAGTTAGACCTGTATTAATGTTATTAAATTTCCTTTACCAAAAGAGCTCCATTTTCACGTCATTCATAAATAACTAACTGCATACAATACTAGTGTTATTATACGAACGAGTAATATTTAGTACTTTTCATTATTTTAGGCTAGTCTAATTATTTATTTATTTTTCTTCAATATCTTAGCTACCCAAGTCAATAGGCCTAGGCTAATTCATATGTCAAGTTTAAAAAAACAAAATGTTAATATATATTTATATATTTATATATAGCTAATTTTTTGTTTAATGTCAGTGCAATATTTTACCTTTCTCTATCCTTTGGAAATCGATATAAATTATGACCCTGTTTGTATGATGTGTTGCAATTTACTGCACAGCAATGCCCTCCAATATCGTACGTCGCCATAGCGCATCGCGGTGTACAATTTTTTAATTGAGAATTGATAATAAAATATGCGACGACTTGGTAACGAAAGTTTGGCACAAGTTTTTTTAGATCCAGCTGTAGGGGGCGTCCCATTGTTCGTATTCCCACCATGCATTTCGATGGAACACGGTGGAACACTTTTTTTGTGTGGAAAACTCTATCTTGTATTTCTAGTATCTTTGATTGTTACAGATAGGCCTATACACACAGAACATGTCGCAACAATTAATATTAATACTAGGGCCTATAGTGTGTTAAAAATTCAGTGATAAAATTATATAGGCCTAATTTGTGAAAAAATTAAACATGGCAAACTTTGTGCTGCCACTTACACCATGGTTAACACAAGCAACAATTTCCTGATATGCGTATGAGATGTGTATAAGAGACAGCTCCAATACCGTACGTCGCCATAGCGCATCGCGGTGTACAATTTTTTAATTGAGAATTGATAATAAAATACGAGACGACTTGGTAACGAAAGTTTGGCACAAGTTTTTTTAGATCCAGCTGTAGGGGGCGTCCCATTGTTCGTATTCCCACCATGCATTTCGGTGGAACACGGTGGAACACTTTTTTTGTGTGGAAAACTCTATCTTGTATTTCTAGTATCTTTGATTGTTACAGATAGGCCTATACACACAGAACATGTCGCAACAATTAATATTAATACTATAGTGTGTTAAAAATTCAGTGATAAAATTATATAATTTGTGAAAAAATTAAACATGGCAAACTTTGTGCTGCCACTTACAACATGGTTAACACAAGCAACATATTTGCAAGATTTTTAAACATTTTGACGATAATAATTGTTAAAGGTAAACATCATTGCTTGTTATCGATTATAGATCTCATTTTTAATATGAATTACTGTACAATGAATAGGCCTACAGTTTCAAATTGTATAATGAATAACAATACTGTTCTGTAAAACAAATAAGTAAATAATACTGTAGGCCTACATGAAAGCAATTATTATATACGTACAGTACCTAAAATAAATACGTAAATATGACTGTGCGACATGACAGCAATTATTTAGTTTAGCAAAGGCTTAAAGTTAGGCATACGCTGCCACAGCATGCGGTGTGGAGAAGGTGTCGGCGGCCGAAGAAGTCACATCCCCTAGGCTTAGCCCTACCTGTAATCTAGAGTAGGCTTGTCTAAACTAATTCCTCCATGTTCCGACTAAGCACTCTCAGACGTAGAAAACAAAAAGGAAGGAAATGAGAATCCTAAATTGAATCAACGTTCTTATAGGCCTAGACGATAATTTTACATGAACACAACAATCAATATATTACTTGCTGTTTGACTGATTATAATAAGTTTAGGGATTGCACTCACCACTGTGGAACTTCTGTTCAATCAAAACTGTTTTGCTTCTGGAACCTTGTTTTGTTCGGTGCCGTGTGAATGAAAATGGCGAGCCGTGTGGAAAATGCAATAAATACGGTACAGATAGGAAATGACGTCATTTGGTAGCCTTCACACTCTCTGCAGCTGCCTCTTTTGATGTGAGCGTAGGAAATAATCGTAGACTACACGCTCCAGACACGGATTGCAAGCGTGATCATAAAACCAGATCGGTCTGGTTCGGTCTGGTTTGGTCTGTCCAGCGCCGGGAGATTTAAAAAATTATTTTTTACATCTCCCTGCTGTAAATATCTCTAGATTCCACGCTATCAAAATAATTTTATGTGACAAAATAATTGTGTTTTATGACCATATTTGGATGTAATATGGCATAATCATGCCCATATGGATATCGTTCTTTACAAAATTACAATTTTGTGCGCGAGGTGGGGTGTCTCGGGGGGGGGGGGGGTGGATGCGCGTCCCTTAAAAAATTACTCACTCGACCCCTCCCACTACCCCCAGTCAAAAAATCACGGTCAAGTAGTTAAAAATCACCGTGTTTTGCGAATTAGCGCCCCTTGTGACTGATCATCGAGCCCCCAGCCAACTTCACCTTCACACCCACCCCCACACACCATTCAGCACCCCGCCCATTCCCAGACTTCTAGATACACCACTGTCCAGGGCGAGTGACTTCGACTTATAAAATATTGTCTTATTTGTGACACAGAGGCCTATACTTTCTTAATATTTAAGACATAGGCCTAAATAAATCACTGTTGTCTGAAGTTATTACCTGGCCGCGGCCCTAAAAGGTCATTCTCGATCTCAGAATCCGATTCCATTTTTACCAATGATGTTTTTACGCATGCACGGCATGTTCCAAAACTTCGATTTTGCTGCCAAAGTAATTAACAAACCCATCGGAATTTTTTACTTTCCAAA